ACAAAACGCTCTATACGTGAGAGTAATTATGGTGCTTGAAAATCCTAACTCATTGTAGTAGTAATTAAGGGAGCCTGGTTACAATTAAGTACAGGAAGGATATTAAAACTTCCAGAAGATATTTCTGTAAGCCACAACAGAAGAACAAGAGCAAAGGAATAATTGGAACCACATACAAACCCACTTCCTTGTTATTTACCAATATCATCTAAGAACACTGTTTAGATGCTGACATTAGACAATCTGGAGTGAACAACTTTAAATCACATTAAGTCTAAAAGAAAATCAAAAGAACTTTATGACAAGGGTTAAAAGTTTATAGCCTTGAAACTACAAAAAATTTGGTGCCCACTACAAACCACATCCCGGCAACCAATATGTCTCTGCAATGAACTACTTAAAATGGTTTTGTTGTGGTGAGGCAATCATCTCTGAGTTAATAATTAGCTACTATTCAAATCAAGTGTAATTTGTCTATTGTATGCTAGCTCACTTTTCAGAGAAGTACAAAATTTCATTTTTAGCAGCAACACTGAATGTTATAATCATTCATTTGTTATCCCATGTAGTGCAATCAAAACAAGTAGAAAAGCATGTTTTGGGCCCTGCATGAAATCCAGTCATTTTTCAGACAGCTAAAATTAAGTGCAAATGTTATGTGCTTAATACAGATGAACATTTATATATAAAAAGAATATTTAATAAAAAGGTGAAGTTTCCTCTTATACAACCCTGAAAAGTATCTAGAAATAGCTCCTCTCATTTGCATAAAGCAGATTTGCATCAGTTTGTGGTTTGGTTGTTGAATTTAGAATCTATAATGTTATTTTAAATTAAAATACAAAGTGAAGTTAATCAAGATTTCTTTACTATGAAAAGTTGTTAGTCTGATAATGAAACAATTATGCCAATAGGCAACTTTTAAATCTCAGCACATTTCTAACACTGTGAAATGTTTTTCAATAACCTAATAAAACTAATGCTTGTCAATGTATTTTTCACATCTTTTATTGCACTGGATCCTCTAAACAACCTTGTATGCTAGTATAGCATTTGTAAATTGCCCCCTCAATAACCATTTCCCCTACTCTAGCCAAAGAGAAAGCTCACCATTCTCTGTGGGATCAACCTCTCTCCCATTCTCAGCCATGAGTTGGGTAGAGTTAACCCCATCCTAATACCAGGTATGGCTTAAGTAAATCAGCCAATTCTGTCTTTCAGGCCTCATCAATCAGTTTAGAATGGTCACTAAACTGACCACAGTAAAATATACAGTCTTGTTTTCTGGGACTTCTAGGAAAGGGAATTTTCATTTTCTTTTACGGGAATCACTAAGATTGTGAAAATTTCCTCAGTTATATGGGATAAGAATGTAACATTTTGCAAGATGTTGCAGAATGTAATATCTGTCATAACTGTGGCTCCACAGAAGGAAGGATGGAAGGAAAGAGAAAGAGAAAGAGAAAGAGAAAGAAAAAGGAAGAGTACAGAAAAGACTGAAACCAGGAACTTTTTTAAAAAGCAAGACAAAGGTAGAGGAAAAAAGAGATACGCTGGAGGGCTGGGGATTTAGCTCAGCGGCAAAAGCGCCTGCCTGGTAAGCGCAAGGTCGTGAGTTCGGTTCCTGGTACCGGAGAAAAACCAAAAAGAAAAGAGAGAACCCAGAGACAATGAATAAAGGAGAGGCAAAAAGAGACAAACAGCACTCTGGCTAACGTGGGTTCAGAAAACAAATATGTTCTCACCACCCAATATCTGCCACTTTAGATGGGCCTGAACACAAGTCATTTTGTCACTGCTACCCTTTGAACTCTTTGGCCATCATGCACAGCTTGAAGGCTATTTTGAACAGGGTAGTTGTAGTGGGTACACCTAACAGAATGTATAGATAAACAGAAGTCTTTAGAGATTTAAAGCAAGATTCCTACACTGGACATATGAGGCCCCCAAAAATCTTGGTCCAGTCAAGTTTTCTGACCCTGTCTTCTACCGTCACTCATTCATATCCCAAGTTCTAGTTTTGTCATCATTTTGTCTTGCATTTGCTATTAGCCATGCCAAGATGACACCTCTCTCTCCTGCCCCCAACTTAGTAAACTCCTACCAGTTCTTCAAGACTTAGCTCACTAATGCCTTTAACTCACTCAGGTGATTTGGCTACTAAACCTTGAACAGATGTGTCACCTCCCCGTCCTACCCAGTTACAACCCAGTCCTACCCTGCAACACAAAACATGCTAGGAAAAAAAAAGTTATCATCCAATAACCCCAAATGCTGTTTTTCTCAAGACTCATATGTCAAAAGAAACACTTGTCCCATCAGTTCATCCTCCATGACTACCTTCACTCAATAAGTCAAAACATGAGAGGTAGTGATCCAGATGGGCTCACTTTGTTGCACTATTTCTTAAGGCTGTTGGTATACTTTGTGGGTAGAAGAGACATGGGATGTCTTGCTGTTTCTTTCTCACAGATGTTCTTTTGCCTCTTCTGTCTCCTACTTAATTTGTCTTATCCCCTGGATATTCACTACAAGAAAGCCTAGAGCTTGCCTATCTCTCAATGTCAAATTTTTTTTGCAGGGAAGAGACAGTCTGGATATCAGAAAACAGAGTTCCTGCTGTGACTCTGTTATTCAAGCGGGTCAAGTCTCAGTTTCTTTGCAAGTAAAATGGAAGTAAAAATTCCTGCCTACCTACCCATGTCAAGTGATTAACTACTGTATAGCTCTAAAATAACACATAATAGGTTTTTCTTGTTCAAAGACAGTGAATGAGTCTTAGCCAGACATGGTGGCACATGCCTGTAATCCCAGAACTCTGGGAGCCTGAGGCAGAAGGACTGAAAGTTCAAGCTCTGCCTGGGCAATTAAGCAATTTAGCAAGACCTTGTTTCAGAAAAGAAAAGTAAATAGAGCAGAAGATGTAGCTCAGTGAGAAGGCTCTTGGTGAGTTCCCAGAAACACACACACACACACACACACACACACACACACACCAAAAAATGGCTAAAATACATATATCTCTGTATATGTGAGTTTACACTCATTTGAAGCAGCCCTAAAGGTGATTACAAACACTCTCCTCCACTCCTACCCCCAGACAAACACACTCCCACATGGTGAATCACTACTTAGGTGCTGGAAGATATTTAAACCCACAAAAGATTTATTCCAAAGCTAATTAATTAATAAATGAAGTACAGATTAAAGCAATAATTAATAAATGAAGTATGGAGTAAAGCAATCTAGGTAGAGATCAGAAAACCTGCATAGCATCCTAACTCCAAGAGCTGCTATATCATTTGGGAGGCCTGTTGCAAAATGAAAAATATAAAGCCTCTTGTTCAAAAGTTATTAAAAATGTCAAGACGAGAGCAGGACATTTAAACTCAACCAAGCCCTCTACAACTACACAGGTCACCTCTGTAAAATCTTCATGGCTTCCATGATTATTGGATGTGCAGTTTTCACCCAGTCTCTTAACTTCTACCAGGTTCTTTATAATCATGAAATTAAGGAAGAAAAGAAAGAATTTTATCTACTTCTCATAACTAGCATCTGTGGTTCTTGTGAAGGAGTAAGAGTACTCATTTGACAAGAGTTCTTTTAACTTTTACAAGATCATTAAAATCCTAATTATGACTCAAAGCTGTTGTTGATAATTCATACATAATATTTCACCTTCAACCACACTGATTTTTTTTTTAACTTCTATCCACCTCTGTCATCTTGCCTAAGAGGAAAAAGTCTCCAAAGCAGTGTTCCAAGTTTACTATTTTCCCATGTATGCCATTTAAATCTGAAATTCCCAACTGAGGTCTCTATGTCTAGAAAGTAATTTTTCCCACAGTAAAATGTCTCCTTGTACAAATTAGATATTTTGTTTTTTATATCCCTGAAAAATTATCTATTCAGAATCAGCTTCAACATATGGTACAGCATCTGGGTCTAATCCAGTAAAAAGGAGGCAAAATGTCATGTTGAGAGTGAGTTAACTCTTTTTTTCACCAGTTTAGTATTTAGTACATTAACTGATAACTATCTAGACCAAGGATTCTTCTTATAAGTCCATGGACAGAATGCTGGGAGCTAATTAGTTTGAGTGAAAAAAATAATAGCTTTATTTTCATCAATTTCTAACTAAACTTTATTATTTTTTCAATTATGAGTATAGACAAAAAAACACAAAGTACTAGCAGTACCTATGACTTGATCACCAATAAATATTATACATATTATCATAACATTAGTTATTCCAAATTTCTTGAAATATCATTTATGCTCAGCATTAACTCAAAATTATAATACTATTAGACCCACCAATATATCTAGTGGTTTAATGTTAGTAAAAATCATAATATAATATCATAATGTATAAATTATTTTTACATTAAAATAGTTATATTTCACTATAACTTGGTTCCCTATAATCCTATCTGATTTTATTAATTTTAAAACATGATTCCAAGGTACTAGACTATGAAAGGGATCCATGGCCCACAAAAGGTGCAGAAACTCTGTCAAGAGAAGTTACAAAGCCAGCTGTGGTGGCACATGCCTGTAATCCCAGCACTTAGGAAGCTGAGGCAGAAGGATCACCGTGAGTTCTAGGATAGCCTATGCTACAAAGTGAGTTTAAGGCCAGCCTGAACTGTATAGTGTAACCGTATCTCAAAAGGTCAAAAAAAAAAAAAACAACAACAAAGTTACAAAGCTCATGTCCCAAAAAAATAGAGATAAATGTATTCTTATCTCATAGTATTAATTAAACAATTCTAGTCGTTAAAAAGTCTTTCAAATTCTACTTCAACAATACCATGTATATAACAAAATCTTCATGATTCTCTTATTTTAACATGAACAAGTACTGTTTCTTTTTTTGTTTTTTTTTTCTTTAATTTTAATGGGTTTTTGCACGTGACCATAGAATTTAATCTGAAAAGGTATAGTCCAAATACAAGTTGGAACACCATTGCCTAAAAAGGTATTTAGATTGATACCTGGGATGACAGTAGGTTGCAGTCAATGAACAGTCCTTTTCCAGTTTTACATCTTTGGATCAGTCCGGCCATAATGGCTCCATATGCATACAGGCCAGTGGCAAGATCAGTCATGGCCACTCCTGGGCGAACTGGATCTCCATCCTGATTTGAGAGTTAGGTTGATAAAAAGAGAGAATTGAAAGTTAAAGTCATTATAGGATTTCTCAACTATTCTAAATAAATAATTTTATATGAAGTATGTAAAAAAATATATTTATATATACACAAATAAACACAATGAATTATTGTTGATGATATCCATTGATAGAGGTTTGTAGTTACTGTTTATTATTGTATTTCTCTCCTCAAACTCTACCAAATTAAACCCAATAAAATATAAGATTTTTAAAAACACATATTAAGCCCCTTGATATTTTTACCTTGTTTATACTAAAAAAGATGAATAAAGAATTTAATTTGAATTTAAATAAGTTAATTTGCTGGTGAGGAAAGAGCTAAAAAAAGAAGAATTTTTTTTTGTTGAATGAAAAGCTACCTTGGGGGGAGAAAAGGAGGCAAAAGACTTGGTGTAATCCATTTATAATCACTCAAACAGCTGGCAAATACTTCAATGATTTTTGCTTTTTTAAAAAAAGACACATCTATAAAAGGATTTTAGCAGGATACCTCTGGTTTAGGATTACTGCAATGAGCAAACTTAACATCTACAAATTATAAGCCATGGGGCACAAGATATAGGGATTCAGCTATGTACTCATCTAAGTATAAAATGGACATGTTTCATATCCTATAATGCTGATCATTGTATTAAATAACCTGTGTACTTTATTAAGGATTTTATCTACTGCTCTAGGCTTAGGAGTCTTGTCTGTTGTAGTGAGAAAGAACCTCATAGCCTCTCTCAATATCCAGGACCTTGCTGTTCCACTTGTGCCTTTTGATTGCTTGTACCTTTGAAATTATATAAATAAAGTTTGATGTTGATGAACACTTCCAGTTCATGTCAACCTGATCTGATAATGCAGTCCTTGGGTCATATATAAAGGCATTGGAACAGTGCCTGACACAGCGTAAGTTGTCTATAAAAATTACCTATCAACATTATATCAGGCAGTTTCTACTTTTCACTACTTGGAATTTTGTTAAGTCTTTCATTGCACAAAATATCTAAAAACACTCACATTATTTATTTCATTCAATTGATACATTCATTCATTCATATCTCAACTCGTTAATTCCAGTTGCTGTTATGTCATTTTCAGAAGCTAATTTTTCCTTTTATGCAGCCCATGCTTATAATACCACATTAATTATCTTACAAGAGCACTAAATAATGTAAAAAACAAGTAAGTGAGACTATACAGTGCCAAAAATGTTTTCCTCTGCTTTTCAACACAGTTTCAAGGATAATGCCATGAAAACCAAGAATGTATAGTAGTTTCTATTATTACTGTTTAAACTTGTAATGTAATGGCTTTAATCAGTAAACATACCTGTCATTGGGACTTAAGATTATTTAATGTGTTAAAAGTAAAGGACAAGTTTAAATTTAAATTTATGGATTTTTTCTCATTACAAAGTAAATATAATCATGTTTTATCCTCCATAACTCTCAGATCAATAGGAATAATTAAGATAAATCCTTTAAATTTTTTTTGTTTGTTTGTTTTTTTGAGACAGGGTCTCCCTATGCAGTTCAGTTTGGCCTTGAGCTCAGTTTGTAGCTCAGACTGGTCTCAAACTTGTGATGATCCTCCTGCCTCAGCCTCCCAAGTGCTGGGATTACAGGCATGTGCCATCATACCCGGCCTTTAAATTATATTTAAGGGGCCTGGGGATTTAGCTCAGTGGCACAGTGCCTGCCTGGCAAGCGTGAGGTCATGAGTTTGATTCCTGGTACCGGAAAAAAAAACAAAAACAAAAACAAAAAAAAGAAAACAACAATAAATTATATTTAAGCCTGAAGGTGCATGCCTATAATGCCAGCACTTGGGAGGCTGAGGCAAGGGAATCTCCAAGAGTTTCAGGCCAGCCTGAACTACATAGGGAGACCTAGTCTCACAATAACATTATATTTTAAAGTTTCAAGAAAGGGGAACAACCCTTGATTAATATTCTGAAAACATCGTTATATTATTCAGAATAATAACATGATACATATGAACATAAATAAACATTAATAATAATTATGTAAATTATAAATAATGAAATAATATGTTACCCATGTATTAGAGACATCATTGCCACGGGTAAAAAATAACAATTTGTGCTAAATAATTGTAGTCAAACACTAATTGAAAGAGACTTGCTAATACATTTTACAGTCAGAAATACAAGTTGAAAATAAAAGCATGAAAAGATACAGCATGCAAATAGGCATCATAAGAAAACTACAGTGGCGACATTAGTATTGGCTAGAATATACTTTGAAACCAAAAACTGTACCTAGAGAAGAAGGAAGATATTTTCATAATGAGAAAAAGTGTTAAGGAATTGGAAAGATATAGAAATTATAAGCATATATACACCGAACAATAGAAATACCAGAATAAACTAACATATGACAGTTCAAAGAAAGAAAAAGACAATTCAAGAATAAATAATAGGAGACTTCAATGGGAAAATTTGAATTGGGGATGAAACAACTAAAGAGAAATAAGTTATTAGAATTGTAGTATAAGCCAACCATATCTAACGTGTCTAAAAAATAGGTCATCTAATAACAAAATGCACATGCTTCTCAAGTATACATAAGACATTCACTAGGACAGACCATATTCTACAATATAAAACAAACTAAAATACATTTAAAACAAGGGAATTCATGCAAAATCTGTGCCCAGATCAGAATGGGAGGAAATTAGAATCAATAGCAGAAGCTTATCTGGGAAACTCAAAATACATGAAGGATAGGCATACAGGTTACTGGAAGAGCACTTTGCCATCATGTGTAAGACTTTGGGTTTGAGTCCCAGCACCACAAAAAATACATATAAATATATATGAACATATTCTCAGAACACCACTGGGTAACAAAAAAACTCACATAGGAAATTAGAAGGTATTTTGAGATGAATGTAAATAAAGGCACATATGTCTGATGGTGTATTGAAATGAATAGTTAATGCTCACAATTTTTTATATTCTGATCGACTTTGCATGCTTGTGTCTGGTGGTCTGAGCAACTGATTTGAAGGTAACAATATGTAATGGAATTACAATGGTGAACTCCTACCATTTTGTCTAATGAAACTGTATCATCTCTAACGTTTTATCAAAGAATTATTTTCTTATTCTCTGTAATGGTTTGAGCAATCTTTCATTCTTACATCTGGTAATCTGAGCAATGTAGTTGAGGATAGCAATATGTAATGTAACAACCACTGTTGATTCATATTATTTTGTCTTTAGACCCTGTATCACTTTGAATGTTCTTGCTCTCATTTGTTTATGTTCGAGATACTGGTATGCTGCTACTGTTCTATTTTTTGTTTGTTTGTTTGTTTCTCATTTACTACTCTCTTTAAAATAAAAAATAAAAAAGGAAAGAAAAGAAAGGCACAAGATGCTCTAACTTATGGAATGCAACTAAAAAAGTATTTGACCAAAATTTATATACCTACACTTTAAAAGATCTCAGATCAACGATCTAAAGAGTGAAAGAAAACTGTACTCAAAACAAGAAAAATGAAGGATATATTACATATTAGTGCAAGAAGTAATGAAAGAAAGAATAGAAAATCAATAAAAATTTTTAAAGGTGATTCTTGAAAAAACCAACAAAATTGAGAGAATTTTAACTGAAGTTTCCAAGAAAGACATTTAAATTGATAAAAGCAGGATGGTCACTGAAAAGTATATAGAAAATTATACTGTTATAGGCAACTGAGTTAGATAGAAATATTATAGGCCCTCGAAGGAGCCAATATGAAAGATACATATTTGCTGTGGGCCAGACTTTAACACAAAGGACTAAACAAATGCACCCATATACCTCCCTAGGGATAGACATCAGGGATTGCTATTCTAAATAGGTAGCCATCACCTTGAAGAGTCACTGATCCAACCCCTTACAGGAAAAGTCCCTGTTCTGTATTCATGCTCTCTTGCTATGTGATTCGCTTTCCCATTTGATCCCAGTTTAATCAATTTTACCTGAAAAATTCTTATTGGCTGACCATAGTTTTATCCATTTTCCCCTCCCTTTGACCCACCTTATCTCGCGGTTTTGCTCTATAAAAGTCCCTAGAAAAGACAGAGTCTTGGGTAACCCTCTCGGGCCCCTCTTCTGTCCCTCTCTTGGACAGAAGCTTTCTTTCCCTCAATAAATATATTCTGCTCTTAACCTCCGTTGTTCCTAAAATTCATTTTTCGATTTTAGAGAACACGAACTTGTCCCAGATATCATTCAGGTTGGGAGTTTTCATTTTCCTGTATCAATAATAAACCAATTTTTTTTTTAAACTTCTGGAACTAATATGAGATAAGCAAGATTGCAAGATACCAGACAATACACAAAACCCAACTTCACTCTATGTAATAGTAATAAACAAAAAATTAGGAAAATAAATCCATTTACAAAACCATCAAAAAGAAAACTATTACTTAGAAGCAAATTTAAGAAAGAAAAAATATAATCTGAAAACTACAAATCATTGTTGAAAAAAAATTAAAGAATACCTAAACAGATAGAAAGACACATTGTATATTGTGGTCTTAGATCAGGAGACCTAGTATTGTTAATATGGTATTAGTTCCAAAACGGATCTACAGATTTAGTGTAATCTCACCTACCAAAATTCTAGGTGCTTTTTTGCAGAAATAAAATGTGATCCTAAAATTCATATAAAAATATGAAAAACAAAATATCCAAAAATATCTAAAGGAATAAAGTTAAAGGGCCCATTCTCCCAATATCAAAACTTAACTACAAAGCTATCATAATCAAGGCAACACAGTACCAGTATAGGAAAAATGTATAAGTAATGAACTTTTTCAGATTTATGTACAATTTTTGACAAGTTTATCAAAACAATTCAATTGGGAAAGACTGGTCTTTTTTAAAAATGGTGAAAAGAATATAAAAGAATAAAGTTGGGCCCCTTCCTTACATCACAGAAAGAAATTAATCCTCACACCTG